TCCCTTGGACCCACACCTTACAACCTGGAAACCCCAGCAGGGGCCTTAACATTCACCTCAATTTTGTCACGTATTTTCTCCAGAGCAGCCCAACAGTAATTTTCCCCAGCCTGCTGGGGACACAGAAATCCTTGTCGAATGTTCTCACTCAGCCAATGTTCTTCCAGGCAACAGGCAAAATTATGCCAAAATTTATGTCTAGAATCAAAGCTTGTTAGACCCGAAAAAATCTCAAAGATGTCTAACCAAGCAGCTCCATTATTCTGAAGGAGGGCCACACTTTTCACCCTGGGGAAGGAGTAGCACCAAGGTGGAAGGCAGGGCCAGAGTTATGCAAAGCTCAAGCCACACATCCTCTGAGAGGCTCAAGGAAACTTATAATTCAAGGAAAAATACAATTTTTATAAAAACTCAATGAGGCCGAAACCGGTTTGGCTCAGTGTATACAGCATCAGCCTGCAGACTGAAAGGTCCCAGGTTCAATTCCGGTCAAGGGCATGTACCTTGGTTGCGGGCACAGCCCCAGTAGGGAGGTGTGCAGGAGGCAGCTGATCGATGTTTCTCTCTCATCAATGTTTCTAACTCTCTATCTCTCTCCCTTCCTCTCTGTAAAAAATCAATAAAATATATTTTTTTAAAAAACTCAATGAGGATATATTACGGATTAGGAAAAAATCATGTTCATTATTAAGATGAACTTTAGGATCTTCAAAGTTATAGGGTGTGCAGCTGGCTACTTGGGTGCAGACTTCAGGGTTGGGGACTGAGGGAAGGGGTCATTAGGAAGAGTGATTGCAGTGGTGTGTAGTAACAAAATTAGAAGCTAGAGTTAGAACTAAGATTTTATAACGCCAGATAAATACCCACACACACTATCAGGTCTGTGGGTAAGATGAATACCAAAACATATTTAGGTGGGGTTCCAGTTGTTAATAACAATGACTTAATAAAGCTTAATACAAACATGATAAATGTACTAGAAATAGATTATGCTGAACTTCATTATTTTCAAGAAAAAAATAATTTCAAAGAAATTCTTTTAAAAGTTGACTTGCAAGTTCCCTATTCTGTATATTACAAAAGTCTCGTTTATAAATCCCAGTTATCACTAAAATAACATAAGAAGAAATCTCAGGATTAAATCTTCTAACATCTTAATTTGCTACATTTCAGTTGAAAGCTTCTAGAAATCAATTAAAATGAAATGCAAAGGAGCATTCTATTCTTTTGAAGTATCACTATAAAATATTTTCACCCAGATACTCTCCCAAAATGATTTAAGGTGGCTTTGCTGAACAGTAGAATATGATGAGATGTCAATTTCTTTTTTCCCAATTTGATAAAATATAAATTTCTTCAGTCGTCAGGTTCACAGAAACTTACATTACATATTAGAATCAATAAAAGCTTACTTTTCTTGATCTACGTATTGACAATAATTAATGAGTTTGTCAAAATCCTCAAAAAAAATTTTCCTGAACTCGTCATGAGCCATTGAAACTAGGTTAGGCCCTCTGGGACACGGTTTTTCAGGCACTCCATAGTGACGTACAATGGTTATAAATTCTTGCTCTCCAAGTCTCCCAACAGTTATATTCATCAGTATGTTTCTGTAAAGAAAATGGAAAAACACTCATGAAGTTATATCTAAGAATATTTTCCTTCACTTTCTATTAAAAATACCCAAATTTCATTTCACAAACTTTTACCAACTGAATAGAGGACAGGTGATTATGTTTCTTTAATTTAATTTCTCTACTTATGAATGGCAAGAAGGTACCAGTGCTAGAATAGAAAACCGTAAGCACTATAGATTTAATAAAATGGTATTTTTCCCAGAGTCAAGCTTCTACCTGATAATAGCCTACAACCAGGAAGTAAAATTTTAAAGTCCTTGAACGGTCAAAAAACCTATCACTAAATGCATGATTTCATTAAAATGCCTATTAATCTTACTTCATACAAAATAGTAATAGACTTGGAATTTTGGTTTCCCAGGGTATGAAATGTATAAATCAGTAAATGAAAAAGATGTTTTGGAGATGGGGGGAAGCTTAAGCACATTTCTGTAGTAAAAAGTAAAAACTGCCGAAACCGGTTTGGCTCAGTGGATAGAGCGTCGGCCTGCGGACTGAGGGGTCTCAGGTTCGATTCCGGTCAAGGGCATGTACCTGGGTTGCGGGCACATCCCCAGTGGGGGATGTGCAGGAGGCGGCTGATCGATGTTTCTCTCTCATCGATGTTTCTGACTCGCTATCTCTCTCCCTTCCTCTCTGTAAAAAATCAATAAAATATAAAAAAAAAAGTAAAAACTGACATACCCTGCCAGTGAGAAAAAAAAAAATGAAAGAAAAAAGTGAAAAGAACCCAGCCAGCATGGCTCAGTGGTTGAGGGTTGACCTATGAACCAGGAGGTCATGGTTCAATTCCCGGTCAGGGCATATGCCCGGGTTGTGGCTCAATCCCAGAGCGGGGTGTGCAGGAGGCAGACGATCAACGATTCTCTCTCATGATTGATGTTTCTGTCTCTCTCTCTTCCTTCTTCTCTGAAATCAATAAAAATATAATTTTTTTAAAAAATGAAAAGAGCTGTGTAAGGGTACAGTTGTCTGAGTCTTTAGAAGGCAAATGGCATTGAGATTATTGGGCAGAGCTTAAAAAATGCAACAACATAATAATGATGCAGATTCAAAGCCTGACAAATAGGCTGAATTGTTTTTCTCTATATGAAACCTATAAACCATGCAGAATGCATTAGAAAGTTACATCAAAATCGTTAAAATGCAACTGTTATGGCAGGTCAATGAATAAACTTTCATCATCTAGAAAATTTACTTGCCGGAAACAATTCAGTTCCCTAGAATACCGAATAAATGAAGGAATAGAAGATTTTATATGCTCTTCTGCTGTAGACTGGTCTTTCAGAATAATGGCTTTCAGTTCTTTTATGTATTTCTTGTCATTATCACTATTATTTAAAAACTAGAGGCCTGTTGCACAAAGAGATTCGTGCAATAGGCCTTCCCTTCTCCTGGCTGCCAGCACCAGTTTTCCTCCGGCACCTGGGACCCAGGCCCTCACCCTGGCTGGAACCGCCTTCCATCTTCCGTCTTCGTGGCTCCAGCTCGCCTTCAGTCTTCGCTCTGCTGCTTAGAGGCTACGTATGCAAATTAACCACCATCTTTGTTGGCGGTTAATTTGCATATCACGCTGATTAGCCAATGGGAGGCGTAGCGAAGGTATGGTCAATTACCCTGTTTGTCTATTATTAGATAGGATTCTGGATTCTCCTGGTCAAGAATTTCCTTAGAGTGTAGGAAAGCCCACAGTTATGATGTTCACCTATCTCAAGGAACTGCATTTCACCTACATTCACTTGTCAGGGTTTCTGGGGGTTTCGTTTTGTCAAATAAAATATAAGGCCAAATTCAATCAAGAAGGCTTCACAACTGCAGCAAGTTAGTTTAGGTCCGTGGTCGGCAAACTGCAGCTCGCAAGCCACATGCAGCTCTTTGGCCCCTTGAGTGTGGCTCTTCCTAAGCCTTAGGAGTACCCTAATTAAGTTAATAACAATGTACCTACCTATCTAGTTTAAGTTTAAAAAATTTGGCTCTCAAAAGAAATTTCAATCGTTGTACTGTTAGTATTTGGCTCTGTTGACTAATGAGTTATCTGACCACTGGTTAGGTCAATCAATCAGCAATCTTGGCTAGGGGCTCACTGTGTGTAAAATACTGTAAAGTTACTTTGGCATCTGAAATTTTCAGAGTCTATAATCAAATAGGGCTTCCCAAACATGCAGATGAGCTCTCACAACCACAAACTGGGAGGGCCAATTGAAGAACTGAGTAATAGTAAGAAATCTTGCCATTCATTCATTCAGGTCGTGTGCTACCAAGTACTTTTGACATGGGTCATCTCATCTGGACTAGAAGGTAGGTACTACTATTATCTTCATTTTACAGATGAGAACACTGAGACACAGAAATGCTAAGTTTTATGCCCAGTGTTGTAAAAGCCAGAATGTGAACCCTTGCCATCTGGCTCCAAAGCCCATGCTCCTGCATACTATGTCCCCTTCTGTTGGGACACAGAAGACAAAATGACCAGATGGAATAGGGCTCAGTCAGGGAAAGATTCTTAAGGCAGTGGGTTTGGAGATAATTTTTCCAGACCTGTATTCCCTTTACCATGCATGATCTCTGCTTTGAGGGCTATAACTGACCAGCATAAATAAAGGAAAATTTCAGAAACCCTGAGTCACCAACCATCTCTGACTGGTGACCACGAAGTAACCACTCCCAGGAAATCCCCTGGCTCATTTAGAACACTGGTCATGGAATAATCAGTCATGACATGTACATAAAATAAACACTATGCAACCATGAAAAGTGTGTTGTTTATTGGTATTTACTGGTATGAAAGATGCCCATGCTATGTTGATAAATGTAGTATGATCCCAATGAAACTGAAGATAGTGGTACATATATATTCATAGAAGAAAAGACTTGGAAGGATACATGCCATGACATCTACAGCATTATAGCTGATTGCTGGTAGATAAATGGATGGATAGATGATATATAGCTGATAGATAGATAGATAGATAGATAGATAGATAGATAGATAGATATGGATATCAATAGATATAGTACACTTTTTCTGAATTTTTATAATAAACAAATATTACTTTCATGATCAGAGAAAAAACACTTGAAAGCTTTTTCCTTTTGAGGGTAGAAAATGGTGTGAAGAAGTGGCACACACCCAAGGACCAGGGAAAAGATGTACAGTGGGGCCTCGACTTACGAGTTTAATTTGTTCTGAGACCGAGCTCATTAAGGAGCTCGTTAACTCAAATTACTCTGTCAACTCAATGCAAAAAATCGGCCGAGAGACAGCTGGTATCTCAAAAAACTCGTTGATCGGGACACTTGTAAGTCAAGGCCCCACTGTATGTGGCAATAACAAGAAACTTTCCACACACCTTTAACTAAACTTATTCTAGCACCACCAGGCTGTAAAAGTTTATTTTTCTTTTCATTGGATAAACTGAAATTATCCTGGCTTTACTGCAGTTAAAATTTATATCTGCTGGGTTTCTGTATGCTTAGGTTTTAAATGGTTCAGTATCCCATGACTTTCCATGGTTTTATGTGAGAATTTCAAACAAGCTCCCGCAGACTTAAAAGTGTTCTTAGTCACGTGGCAGGTCACTGAACCAGCGATCCCAATCAGAAAGTACAAGTCTTGTTTTGCAGGACTCAAGAGGCTGCCACCATGCCCCCTGAGTTTGCCACTACCCCTTCTTTAGGATTCACCCCACCCTGTCAATCTTTAATGGGCCTCACCACAAAATAGGAATCTTATCAAAAGGTGCACACTCCTTTTTTTGTTGTGGTAAAATACACATAATATAAAATTTACCATTAGTGACATTTAGTACACTCACAATGTTGCACAATCACCACCTCTATCTACTTCCAAAACATTTCATCACCCCAAAGATGTCATTCCATTTGCCTCCTCGCCGATAGTTCTCTGCCCACCTGGCAACCACTAAATGGAATCATACAGTATGGTCTTTCCTGTTTGACTTTTCTTACTTAGAATAGTGTGGGGTTTTTTATGTTCATCCATGTTGTAGCATGTGTCAGTACATTCATCTTATAGCTGAATAATATTCCATTGTATGAATGTACCACACTTTGCTTATCTATTCATGTAAGCAAATGGACATGTGGGTTATTTCCACATTTTGGCTATTATGAATAGTGCTGCTCTGAACATTCACGTACAAATTTTTGTTTAAATATCTGTTTTCAACATATATGCAGGAGTCCAATTGCTGGGTCATAGCAATTCTATGTGTAACTTATTGAAGACCTGCCAACTTGTTTTCTTCATACTCCATTTTTACTTAGCAGCAACTACAAAAATAAAACCAACTTCCATTACATATAGCCCTTCCTCATCTAAACCTTCAGAGTGAACCTGAAAAAAGTCTGAAATAAGATCTTGGTACTTCCTGCCCAATCATTTAAGGGGAATAAAAATGTATTTTAAAAAGTATCTGTAACCCTAACTGGTTTGGCTCAGTGGATAGACTCTATCTATCCGATAGAGCGTCAGCCGGAGGACTGAAGGGTCCTGGGTTCAACTTTGGTCAAAGGCACATGCCTGGGTTGTGGGCTCAAACTCCAGCGTGGGGTATGCAGGAGGCCTGATCAAAGGAATGCAGAAGGCAGCCAATCAATGATTCTCTCTCATGGTTTCTAGTTCTCCCCCTCCCTTCCTCTCTGAAATCAATTTTTAAAAAGAAGCTATAATTGTATTGACTGGTGTTCTGTGATTACTATTGTTAATCTTAAAGATTCAAATGGCAAGTCATCTTCACCTTTACTCAACATTGCACTACAGATCATCACAATATTTTTTAGTTAATCTTATAAAGGACACTACCATGATTTTCTCTGTTTTTGTTATTAAAGTCATAAGACTCCAAAAACCAATGCCAAACTGCTCTAGGACATTGAGGTAACTGCAAAATTTTGAAACATGAAATGCGCCAGTTTTATGAGACATAATTCCATTAAAGTAACCCAGTCAA